GAAATACTTGCCTTTGTAGACCTGGGCAATAAGCGAATGAGGTTCATTGAGGATACGCCAGCCTATCTTAGCCAAAAGAGCTTGATTGAAATGCTCGAACTGGCGAAATCCCATCCCCCCCCCCTCATGTTTACTCCTGCACATATTCCGCCAGGACACCCACCTAATCTTAGGAGACCCATCATCCGCACCCCACCAAAAACGGGCCACATGCTTATCTAAAAGGCGACAAAGAGCCAGGGGAAGCCGGAAACAGGACATAACATGAAGTGGAAGAGCCAATGCTATGGATTTAATTAAAGTTTCCTTAGCAGCCCACGACAACGTCCTTTGCTTCCACCCCTGAAGCCGCTCTAGGAGTTTTTCCTCCAAATATCTGAATGTAGCGGTTTTGGATCTGGCAACCAGCGTTGGAAATCCCAGATATTTATCGTGGACCCCTACCGCACGAACCCCTAGAATTGTGGCCAAGAACTCCTGATCAGGCAGGAAAATATTCTTGCTAAAGCACACCGCCGATTTCTCCAAATTAACGCGTTGACCACTCAGTTCCTCATATTCATTCAACACCTCAATTAAATTCTCGCACTCCTGCAGAGACTCTCGCAAGAATAAATAAGAATCATCTGCGAAGAATAGATGCGAGATCCTTGCCGCACGAGGAGCTACTTTTACCCCTTCCAACTTTTTCTCCGTGATCGCCTTTCTTAGAAGGGCTGCAAACCCCTCCGTACAGAGTACAAACAAGAGAGGAGAGAGCGGATCTCCCTGGCGAAGACCCCTAGAGGCAGTAAAATATCCCGAGGGTGTACCATTCATGAGAACCGAGAAGGAGGAGGAGCGAAGACATTCATGAATCCATCCTTGCCACACTGAGCTAAACCCCATTTTATCCAAAACTGCAAGCAAGAAGGGCCATTCAACTCTATCATAGGCCTTTTCCATGTCAACCTTCAGAGCCATGTAACCCTTCTTCCCTTGCTTTTTTATTTTTAGGTAATGCATTAACTCATGTCCTATAAGGATATTATCAATGATCTGCCGATCCCTGATAAAGCCATTCTGGCCTTCCGAAACGATCCGCGGGAGCATGCTAGCCAATCGTTCAGCCATGATCTTGGTAATCACTTTGTAAACAAACTGACAGAGACTAATCAGGCGCAGTTGTCTAATTGTCTCCACCGATTCCACTTTAGGGATCAAAGTGAGCCAAGTATGATTAAAGCTTCGCAACATCCGACCCGAGGAAAAGAAGGAGATTATTGCTTCAACCACCGAAGTGCCTACTATATCCCAGAAAGCTTTAAAGAACTTCCCTGTGAAGCCATCCGATCCCGGGGCCTGTTTCGAACCCATAGAAAAGACCGTACTCCGGACCTCATTAGGCAAAACCTCTGCTGTCAATTGTGCATTCATTTGCGGAGTAACATTACGGGCAATTGGCAGAGACGCCACCCTCTCAGTCATATTAGGAACCTGAGTTTCAGAGGTGAACAAAGTCTGGTAAAAACTTGTGGCAATAGAAGCCTTCCCGGTTTCCTCAGTGACCCATTCACCCTCCTCATTCCGAAGCCCAGAAACAAAGTTCCTCTTCCTTCGAGCCCTAGTGACCGTATGGAAGTACGCAGAATTTTGATCACCTTTTTTTAACCACTTAACTCTGGATTTTTGCTGCCAGAACACCTCCTCTACTTCCCACTGACGGGAAAGTTCTGTCTCTAATGTCCCGATCTCATCCCAATGAACAGGGTGGATCGACTTTATCCTATCAATCTCAGCCTGGAGCGTCTTAATATTCCGCAGGGAATTAGTCGTGCCCGCCCTACTCCAATCATATAACAAATGTCTGAGTTTCTTTAGAGTCGAAACATAGGGGTGCCTTGGATATCTTCCTGCCAGACATAGGTGACCATGGCCCTAACCTCCGGTTTATCCGCCCACCGAGCATCAAAACGGAAAAGAGGCCGACTAGTACAAACATATGGTTTATCTGCAAGCAGAAGGGCACGATGATCTGACCCCTGGTCAGTGAAGTGCTTGACTAACGTCTCCGGGTATGTATCCATCCAAGACTGAGAGCAAACTGCTCTATCCAGACGAGCACGAATGCAGGCAGCGCCCATGCGTTTATTAGTCCAAGTAAACGGATCCCCTTGATAACCAGGGTCGTGAAGCCCCAAGTCATGAACAAATTCACGTATACTAAACGCTTGGGTAGCATTCCATTCCCTTCCCCCATCTTTTTCTTCCTCATGCAAAGTAGCATTGAAATCCCCTATGACCACAAAAGGTTGATTGATACTCCCACAAACGGATCGCAATTGGGTCAATTGGGTGGTACGAACAACAGCATTACAACTAATATAAACAAAAAACACTACATAAGAAAAATCTCCTTCATTAACTTGCGAACAAATATAGAAATTTGAATGACAAAGCACCGAAGTGTCAACTCCGGGGGCCCAAGAAACTACTAAACCTCCCGATGCATCGACTGCATCTACAAAAAAACACTGAGAAAGAGCACGAGATCCGGTTTATTGGAATGAACTACACGCCAGTTCGATCGCGTATCCGAGAAAAACACGAGATCCGGTTTATTGGAATGAACAAGCCCTAAAGCAGATTGGAAGGTGAGAGACGACCCAATTCCTCTCACATTCCAGGCGAGAAGCCTCATCTATCCTCTAGGGGCCATTCAAGGCTGGCTTCCTCCACCTTATCCAGATCGTCACCCGATTCCACAAACTGCTTCTTTGGGGTAGGAGGGTTCCCCACTTCCCCCTCCAAATCATCCAGCCCGCGCTTCCGACTCTCCATGATAGGGTCTAACAAATTAGACCCATATTCATCCAGCCCTGAGACCATTCCCTTGACCTCACCCTTCTCCTCCTTTGCAGAAACTAACCCAGCTTCAAAAGCCTCCACCACCTGCCGAACACGCCCTTTCATGCTATTTCAAGATTGCCTGATGTCAGCAGCGGGCGACCGTCGCTTGATCTCAAAATGTTGTTCCTCGGCTAGCTGATCTTCATCAGAGTCAAAATCCCGCTGTTTCTCCATCTAGCAGACTTTTCAAATGAAGCAGCAACTTCCTTATCCTCCAAGCCCAACAGATCACCACGGCCATGAACTCCTCCGAACCTCTAGGTTGCGATCTCTTACTTGTGTGGGTATATAAATAGGAATTGTCTGATTTGAGCAAAGGAGGGTATCCTCGAGAGAGAAACAAAGTTTTAGACATGTAGAGTGAGAGTGACGAGTTTGGAGAGGTTTTGGGTGATTTCTTCTTCATTCTAGCCCCAAATCCTCCCAAAATTGAAGAAGAGTGGGAAATCCAAGAAGGAGAAGATGGATCAAGCTCATATTGGTGTTCTTCAACCTCTTTGTACTCTCTCTCTCTCTCTCTCTCTCTCTCTCTCTATATATATATATATGGTGCCGTATTCGGTGCACCCACTTTTTCAGGTGCACTCAGTGCACCCGCCTCATAATTGTCATTCTGACCATGCGATTCATGTCAAAACGGTATCGATTGTTGCTTATGATATTATGAACAAGAAGCACATGAGTTTAAAAAAATTCATTCAAAATTTACTTTAATTCGAAGGATTTAGGATTTAGGGATTTAGGGTTAGGGTTTAGGTTTACAATTTGGGATTTTGGGTTGGGATTCAAAATTGAATGTTAAGAGGTTAGGGAAATGGATTGATTTGTTATGATTCTATGTCATATCATCATATTATATTGAGAGTACTAATCAAAGTTCAAAATTTGATGTATTATGGACCCTTTTAGAGTTGGGTGCACTCAGTGCACCCAAAAAAGTGAGTGCACCGAAGTAGCCACCATATATATATATATATATTCTAGTTCTCTTGTTGTTTGGGGAGATGAACCCTACTAACCTAGTTTATAGTTTGTGCATGGGTCATGCGTAAGAGTGACTATTAACGTATATATCTATGTTTATTTGATATTTGATTATACCAATCTCTTGCTAAATGTGATTGATTGATTTTTTTTACCTAAGTGAGGTGCCCATCCCCTTAGGTTGAAATTAGAAGCCACATCAAGTAGTATGAGATTTTGATTGCATGGCATTTGAATTCAAGTCTCATTTTCCTTTAGCCTTGTTCACAATTAGAGAAACATAGGTTTAGTGCTCGAGGTGATTGGTTGATTGCATGACCATTGAGGCAAGAAGCTACCTAGAAGTGTATCTAACATCGATCCCAGATTTCCTTTTGAAGAGGGCCAAAGAAAGGTTTCCACCCGCTGCCAACAGTCTTTCTTCGGAATTATACTGAACGGGTCGATCCTCCCCTTGGTTTTATCAACTTATCTTATCTTAAACCTCGCCATGTGCTCCCCGTCAACGACAGAGGAACCAACTAGGTACCTAATTTGTACACTTACTTAGGTGTTATCTTGAGTGATTCCTTGCATATGAATCTATGGTATGATTGTGTTCAACTAGGTACCTAATGTTTCGATTAGGGTGTGGATGTATGTGAGTGCTTCCTACGTAGGTTAGATGATCTAGGGTCCTAATTGGAGGACGAGGTGACCATCCCCTTTCAATGAGGAGCTCACATAGTTGATGCTAGTGAGGTGAGTGTGTTACCATTGACTCACCGTCTCACCCTACTAGTGTCCGAATAAGTATAACCCGTTTATGGAAGGTAGGGTCCATCCCTAATTAGAAAATCTAGTTAATGACCAGTAAGCGAAGGTCGCTTCAATAAATCTTGCTATATTACGATCGATCAATATAGCAAGTAGTTCACATTTTACTCATTAACCAGTGTGAAAATATTAACAACCAATACCTTCCAAAACCAACTGTATCCACCCGTTATCCATCCACCCAACCCGTAAAATAATGCAATTAAATAGCAAGTGATAATTGTATCCACTCATTAATAAACAAAATTTGAGACTCAAATCCCCCAATACAATTTAACTCGAAAAATAATACAAATTGATAGCAAGTCATAATTGTATCAACTCGTTTATTAACCTGAGACTAAAATCCGTCCAAGCTAATAATAGAGGGCATGCAACACAGAATATTCAGACATATCCCCCAAAGATTGCGAGACATTGGTGGTGCTGCCAATATACTCCGAAATCTTCCGCGCAGAACAAGATCTGGATTCTGGATGGATGTAGAATATTGGATCCCACCCAAGAACTCAACAACAACGCGTTATGCATGTATGTAATGTATGACTATAATAATGATTCGAGGCCAGTCCTCGTAAATGAAACCCCGTTGACAAAACTGGCCACATCATCAGGCTGAAGAAGAAAACGGTTCATCACAAATGCTGCAGCCGGTCAACAAGCTGGCCACATCCGGTATGCTTGTTTCTTCTTCTTCTCCTTCACTGGATGGAAGAGTTCATCAACAAAACTTCTTTCAACCCAAAGCACTCGAACTTCTCTTCATAAGTGGGAATAGTGAAAGATAGCAAGTCCGGGGGACTTCTCAATACTCTTTTTTCTCAGCATCAGGAGTGCTCAAAAGACAGGTAACTTTATGGAGTGCCAGTAATACTTATGTTGAGCTCTGCACTCTTTACAATAGCCAGGCAATATACATCTTCACCCTGGAAATGAGGTTTACGATCGAAGACTTCGGCATTACTTGTCAGGCACCGTTGATGAAGCTGATAGTGTGAGAAAAGGGCAGAGTGCATTGATTTACCTGAGGGTTTCTTCCGTCTCCTGGCTCCCCCAATTGACATTCTTCCATCTCTTACACTTCTATCTCCTTAAAACTGCCAAACTCCAGGGTTCATTGTTTCTTTACCTCGTATCTCTCTGCCCACAGTGTGCTTCTTATCTTTCTGTTTTACCCTAGTCTGAAACAATTCCATGCGAAAAAATGACTACAGAAACAGAGCCAACTCACATTTCAAGATGTGTATTCAATTCGAGTTCTCCGTTAGATTATGGCCGTAAAATGTTAAATAGATGAACAAATGGGCAGGCACGGCAAGGGATAAGAATTGACTTCACTGTGAGAAAACATTGGATTGGATATACATCTCCATTCATGGGCAGTATGCATCCCAGTCAAAGCTGGGCCGTGAGAAAACCTCATAATCAATAGGTCCGTCATCTACAATGCTATCAACAGTCTGAAAACCTTGTAAAAGTGCAGGGTGAAAGTAATCGCTATCTGAAGGCAAAAGCTTGTACACTACTAACAGCCCTAGGGTGAAAATGGCTTGCAGCTTTGTGGAATCCCCTTGAACAGCAAAGAAGAAGATCATTGACACCAGGAATAGATCAACGCAGAACCTCATGATACCAAGCACGACGTCCATCAACCTTCCATCATTCCCTGCAGGAAACCCCCTTTCTCTATACACAAAAAGGAAGTTGTACTTGTCTACCATGTATCGATATCCGAAATAGACCGCACCCACAGGGACCACCAATGGAGCAAAACATGAGTATATCAAGGTAAGGGCAAATATTGTCAAATTAAATGCATAATACTGAGCAAAATCAAACTTCTGCTTCGGGATAGGAGATGTTCTGCTGCTGCTGATAGGTGGATATTCAGAAAGGTCTTGCCCATCTGAATTATTCACATAATCCCTCATCAGCGGTCTCTGAAGAAGGCCATCATCCACAGCCGTCTGATTTTCTTCCAACGGGTACTCTTCGCTTCGCTCTGGTACAAGCTGAAGCATATCATTCTTCCTAAACTTCTGCAATTTTCTCTTTATCCAAGGAATTGGTGCCAAAAGATCAAAAGATATCCCCAAGAAAGTGCTAGTGATTAGAAATGCCAAAGAAGAAAGACAAGATCTTGATAGGAATGATGCACTCATGTATTCCTCGATCCTTTTGCAATCTTCTCCATCCAAATAGCACCTGCCCATTTTCAGGATCGTGCTCTCCAGAGAAGATTCAACCAATGCTTTCAATAGGATTAGGTTCACGAGGAAGAAGCAGACCATCTTCAAAAGTGCAGCTCTTTGCTCCCCCGAAACAGTAAGATGCTGTTCAAACTTGGAGAGATATGAAAGTGCAGAGGGCACTATTACATACATACTCACAAAGATAATAACATTGGGCAAGAACTGGAAGATAAGGGAAGCAAACCAACTGGAGCTTTGAACCCAATGTAACCATGATTGGGCATTATCCATTGCCTCTGCATTAATTATCCTGCCAGCACTCTGGAGGGCGGTTATAAGCGCAAGAGGAGAACTAAAGAACAAAAGCATCAACAGCAAGCAACTATTCACAAAGGTTCGCCTCAACCTCAGTGACAACTTTGTTGTCCCCAAGTGGTTCCAGTAAATATCAGTTGCCAAAGGGGCCCGTTCCACTTTCCATTGGTTTCTCTGCAATCGCAACTCCATCACAGAGAAAAACTTACCAAACCTCCGTTTCCTCTCATTTCGAAGGTCCTGAAGAGCTTTATTGGCCGTATAAACATCTTTTAATACAACAAATGCAACACCAGCAGCTGGAGCATGGCCTTCTTTAAATGACACCAAATCAGTTTCAAGTTGAGCTCTCAGTGCTTGCAACTTTCCTAGCTTGTCTTCATCAGTATAACCCATTCCATCCATCAGTTTGTCCCACAATTGCTTTACTCTCCTCCAGGCAAGGATCATCAATGCTCTAGATTTCTCCCAGAACCCTTCACCAACTACATCTTCCCCCTCAGTTCGCTCTGGCAACAACCTGGAGTCCATTCGGGCAACCAACCAAGTAATTTCATCCCTAACCGTGATCAATTCAGTGGCTAGTTCACCCAACGCAGATAAATCCATAGGCATGATAACCTTGTAGACCTTGCCAGGATACTTATTGCTAAAGTACTCCTCCAACAAAGCCTTATCAGGGCCTAAACTCTTCGGCAACCCCTGGACCATGATAGTGAAGATAGCAGTGGAATTCGCATTGGGGTCACTCAAATTCCCATTCCCATCCCTGAACCTAGTTATTTTCAGTCTCTCTTCAATTGCAGACATGCCGAAATGGGCCAAAACCACAACCACCACCGCAAACAAGAAATGGAGCCAAAGAAATTCCGAACCTTTCCCGATATGACTAATCGTGGTCTTGGAGAACTGGTCACTGAGCACCGCGGTCCCTGCATAGAGATTCACCGGGAGTATGACGCAGATGGACAAAGCTGCTATGGACAAGAGCACCGTGAAACTGCCGCCTTCAATGATGAGGAACTGTGCGGCGTCAGCTCCACAATGGCGGGCTATCTCCCTGCCGGTGGCGTGCCAGACGGCGAGCAGCTTGGCGAGGATGGCGCTAGGCCCGGGCATGCTGCGGTGGTCGCTGCGGAGCTTGACGAAGAGGAAGATGAAAACGCAGAGGAACAAGCCGATGACAGATATGTTGAGAAGGTACTGGATGTTACCATACCAAGCATCGGGGATATCGCCATCGCCGGGGGAAGGCGAAAGAGATTGCAAATGGTTGGTCGGAGGAATGGAAGGGGAGATGAGAAAAGGGGATAGAAGCGAGCCCATTGGAACGGAGATTGGATCCGTGGCGTGGAGTTAGGGTTTAGGCGAAGCGATGATATGGGGAGGGGAGGTAGTCTGAGCTGTAAGTAATTTGAAGCCTAAGTCTCTCTCCACCAAAGTCCCAAGCCTCCTCTTCTCCCTATGTCTCTTCCAATTCGCAGTCACAGGAATAGATTCCCCGGTAGAGAAGGAAGGAGATGAGGAGGTGATCAGCGAAACGGGAGCAGGTGCTACAGAAACAGAGTTTTTTATAAATTTATTTATAATACTCCTGCCCTGTTGGAGGTTTCGTTAAAAACTAGCTTACACCCGACGGAATATTTTGATTTATATTTATTAAAACTAATTTAGATTCTTGATGAGAGTATTTTTTTTTTTCCGGGTGCAACAGAGAGGGTAGAGGGGTGCTCTAACCATTAATTATTAATAAATCGCGAGTTTAAACCCCAATAGAGTTAAAGTACAGCCAATATCTCAAGCTAGGTAAGGAATGACCAAACGATGCCAAATAATCGGCCACAAAATTTGCTTCCCTAAACACGTGGATGAGCGAGACTTCTCACTCCCTCCAGCAGCCGACGAATGGTGGAAGTCATCGTGTAATGCGGATGACACGAGGTCGTCGGCTGAATTAGTGAGAGAGCTGCAGCTGAATCAGTCTGTAGCACTACCTTCCTGGCCCCCTTCTCCCAAGCAACCCTTAATCCTTCCGCAATACCAGCCAACTCTGCATGTGTAATGGAACCACCACCCAGATCGATTGCATAAGCTCCCATATAGCGACCATTTCTGCCTCAGAGAACACCCCTAGCCACCAAGCTTCCCAACACCAAATTCACTGACCCATCTGTATTCACACATATCCAACCATCCGGTGGTCTTTGCCAGCTAATTAGGATTTGCGTTCTCGCAGGACCCCCTTCCACAACAAGCTGTCCTCTACTCACCGCTTTTGCAGATTGACCCCACAGCTGTTTAGCCGATCGTATCAGCTGATCCTCCACTGCCAGCTTCTTTTCAAATACCCACAGATTCATATTCTTCCATATTTTCCAGCAAAGAATTGCAAAGAGGCCTGGTTCAATGACCATACTCTTCCCCCGAGAGGTAGTGCAACCTCCGAACCCAAGAAGGTTCCTGCCAGCACGATTGCACAAAGTTCACCACTGATAGTCCAACAATCTCCCAACACCACTGATAAAACAATGGATTTAATCCATCTTTACATAGCGCCTTCAACGATCTCATAACTTTGACCGAGTTGTATATCTCCTCTAGTGTGAACTGTTGCTCGAGGGGAGCCCAAAGGCTGGTTGGAACTTCACGAAAAGCTGCCTCTAGAGTTTGAATAGGATCTCCGTCATCCGTGTATAGCACTTGGAAAAAAACAACAAGCTAGATCAAGTAGAAGCACTTAGGTAGATGTCTCACCGTTGCCTCCAGGTACTTGCCAGTCCAAGCTCCGTTAGCTAGCCCTCGATCAAGCCGTTCTTTAACACTTCTCTGAAACCAATTGTAGGGTGGCCCTGTATATCCCAAGTCTAGAAGCCCCGCGTCCAACACATAGTCTTGAAATTCTCTCGCACGACTGGCATTGATCGGAGCACCATCCAACTTATGTGATGGCTGAAGGATAGAGTTAAAGTCACCTACAAGAAGCCACGGGGCAACCGAATCCTCGGCCAAAGTCCTTATCGCATGCCACAATTGGCAACGTTGTACTAGTGTCGGATTCGCGTAAATGGCCGAAAGTGACTAGCTGTCATTTCCACTACTAGCCTTAACATGTAACAGCTGATCAAACCTATCAACCTCTGTAATAGTTACAAAATCTAAGTTCCATACCAACCAAATACCTCGTGAGAAGCCCACTGCATCCACAATCAAATGCTTGTCAAATCTCATGTCCTGAATCACTTCTAAAGCCTTGTCTCCACTAATCCTCGGCTCGACAATAACGACGATCCCAGGATGATACTTTCCTCGATACTCTCTGAAAACTCTTAAGAAGCGTTTGCATCATGCTCCCCTACAGTTCCATGAAAAGATGTTAATCATTGGATAGCTTTTGGAAGGTAGGTCCCGACGTAAATCACGTAACAACTCAAAAGTGAGGAGCCTCAGTATGAGGCCTCCCAACATCAACTCATGGGTTGAACCCACTGTGCTCTCGGTTGTGCTTTCCTTTCCATGCAAACTGGTAATATATGTGGGCCGCGTTTGGTATCCTCTCATCCCTGGCGTAGCCTTATATGAGAGTACACCATCTCCCTGCTGCTCCGCATTTTCCAGCTGCTCCCTAACTTCAACATTATTCAAGGGGTTCTTAGTAGGGAAGCTTGTGACGGTATTCGAATTCTCAATTGTGACCCGCATCCCGCTCACTTCCCAATAGTCCTTCCCATTTTGGTTCCTTCCCGAGTTGCTGCTTCTCAGGGGTTTTATTCAGTTTTCGAGTAGAACTCTTGGGATTATCATTCCCCACAGTCTTCTCCTTCCATTGCTTATTCGCGCTAGGATCACTGGAAACCACCCTCATCGTTGTTACTGGGTGGGTAGTCTCAGTAGTTAAATTCTTCTCACAGCTAGTTTCAGTTTCTTCATCGACGAGAATAGTAAATCTTGATCCTCCTTGTGCACCACGTATCACATCTCCGTTGCTAGACTTGGCTTGTTCGTTACCCGCAGCCTGGGTATCTAGTTCTTTACATGGATGTGACCTCTTCTTCGCTATCATCCACTCCCCGTAGAGAGGTACTAGCTCCGTAGCCATTGGAACAGTCTCCGTCACAACGATTTCCGTCTCCATGGCCACTATCGTTTGCATGCATGAGCAGCGGTCACGCTCATAGTACATATCACACTTCAAACAAATATTTTCTAACCCTATGTATTGAATAAAATATTTCTTCCCCCTCAAAGTGAAATGGGAGAGCAGTGGTTTAGTTAGATCAACTTGATGAGAGTATATTCTAAATTGAAATTTTTTAACCCTTGCCTTATTAATTTGTGAGACTGAGAGTATTGATGATGGTCTTTGAATAAATTTATCATCATAATAATAAACCAAAACAAACCTCCCAATGTTGGTTCTTGTACGAAAAATGAATAGTTTGTAGCTCACTAGAGTCATGATCATTAACTTGTAGGTAAGCATAACTTATTCGTTATATGAAGGCATATTCCACAAACGACTCTCGGATCCTAAACGAATCGATTTATACTCCCCTCTCGACAGTATAGACAAACCTGATGTATTATGGAACATAAGTTGCATCAAAGTGAGTCTTACTACAATTTCCCTCTCAATTTCATCATACTGCTAACCGAAAAATGAATTTATTAAGACGAAACAAATCTTCTGAATGAAACTCCTTCCTGAGGTTTTTTTGTTGCTGTTGACGCTTTGTGCAAGTAAAGATAAAAGTGATGTTTTATCTCTACTTCTCAGTTACACATTACAAAACTTAGATGAAAACATTGTTTGATAGTTATAGTAAGACTCTCAAACATTGACTGCAACTTATGTTCGTTTGTTAAAGCCTAGGAACCTGATAGAAAGTTTGATTTTGTTACTTAGGAAGCATCATATGCTTAGCAGTGCCACCCGTAACATCTATTCGTAAACAACAAATCATGCTAATGACAAACCACTAAATGATTATCAACATGTTGAAGTCGAGAAGTAAATGAAAATCTTTGGTACCTCTACGTAAAAGTAAAAAAGAAAGGCTTCATACCCCCACTACTGAAACATCCTTAAAAGATAGTCATTATGAAACAAGATATGCAAATAGGCTGTTTAGAAGATTAAGTCTGATTGAAATTTAAATTCAAGGGTTAAACTTATTTTTACAAAATTGGGGTAATGCAACGCAAGAGCTATAATTCCAACTATAGGGTTAAATACAAAACTGTTTGATTTCTATAAGAGCAAGGGTCAGTTCTTCTGGTAACTCATGATCATATTCAACTGCCTCATCAACATCAGTAAATATTTTTTCATGCTTTCAATAATCACTTATGACAATGTTGGATGTCATATCAAGGATCCCTTCCCTTGTGTTTCAATGGGGTTGTATATGTGTACCTTTTAAAAAAGAGGTAGAATAAGCCATGGATTTTTTGTTAGAGATAATAAGCATGCATTCATTTAAGCTTTAAAAATTTAGCTTACCAATCAATCTACACAAAAGCTAAACCTCCTGCAACTTGTGCAACTCCAAGTGATCTGAGGTTATCCGACCAACTATTTCCCTGCATTTCACAGCAACATCACAACATGGTAAGGAATAAGAAAAACATTACAAGGTTTAGCTTGTATATGAAGGTGGATTAATATTTCATAGCAAGTTTCCTTAGAGAACCCACAAATAAGCTACTAACCTGAAGTCTTTTCCTTGGACTTGTTGTAACCTCTTGCAGTTGCAGTTTCGTTGTTTTCAGCACCATTGATAACACTACAAAATAATAACTACAAATCAATGCCTCCCCTACAATTGATCATTTCCTACTTATAGCAACACAAAAGATCTCAAGCAAGGAGCATAAGTTATCCTACTATCCAACAAGACAATTGCCATCAACAAATGGTTGCATACCTACAAATAAAAAATGAACGTTCAAGCAAACAAACCTTAAAATCAGATTATGAGAAGATTGCTTGTGTGTATGTGTCTGTCTGTGGCAATGCGATAAAAATGTGCAAATGCACCAACACAAAGGAAAACCTTGGTTGGACCACCTCCTATGTCATTTTTTATGCAAACTTTACTCTATATGTCAGTGAACATCAATTTCAATTTTGAACAGAAAAAAGCTATTAAAAAGAGTAAAGAAATCACCAACGGGAATCAAACTCGACTTTAGTCACAACTATAAATAGTAAATTGGATTCATTATGATTTGAATCCAATTCCAGCTTACCCTAAGCACACATTCTTTTCCTTCTCCTTAATCATAATTTCATATTCATTGCAAATTTGGGTCACAACTTCCTCTATTTCCTTTTCAATGTCAGAATTTAACATCTTCTGTACAAAGGAGCAAATTTTAGAGGTTAAGACTGAATGTATACTTTCATAAAATGTTATGGAGTAAGACATTAGGATAAAACATCTTAATACACCTTCATTTCTAAAACCAGGCCCTTCTGTTATGAAAGCAGACTTGTTAGTTTGAACCTCTCTACAAGTGTGAAATAAACATCTACTGGGTTCAGCAAG